GCTCCACAAATGCTGAAATAAGAGGAGTGTCGATGTGGTCATGCATGCTGGACGCCAAATGTGACAGCCCGGTCGGACGGATCAGATCTAGCGGAGCCTCAGCCATCTGTCCGAGCCACTCCCTCAAAACACCGTTCGCTGACATCCTGTTTTGGCACTTCAACGTGCCTCTAAGACGTCCTGTCCAAATCCGGGAGGCCACGTGCCCTAGAAAACTAGGGATAACAGTCCCGTCAAAGGGGCCACCGGGTACTGGGGCTTTAACAAGCCAGTCGTCACACTTAGTGCGTTTGCTACTCGCCCCTGTATTATAATAGAACAATCAATATATATACGACATATTGTAATTGATTGTATCAATGATGCGATGTTATTAAATAAAATAATTTCTAATGGTAAACAACAATAAGTACGTAATTTTGTACCTGAAGATGAGGCAGCGCTCGTATAACGGCCCCCAGCCTGTCGTGGAGGATCAACTCGGCCGAGTCGTTTACCTGGACGTGCCTGTGGCTGAGTCTGTGGCTGCTCAGCTACATCAAAGTAATCATCATAAGCCTGCTCGTCATCATCATATGTCTCCTCGTCATCATCATAGGCCTGCTCGTCCTCATCATAGGCCTGCTCGTCGTCGTCATCATCATCATCATGCCTCGAACTCCTGACTGTCGACTCAATGGAGTCCCGCTGACGAACAATACGTACAGTCGGGAGACGTGGAGAACTGCTAGGCCTCACTGACAAGGACTGCTGACCACTCCAACTGCCAGGCATGAATGGGCCTGAGTGGGCCAGACTGCTGACCACTCCAACTGCCAGGCATCAGTGGGCCAGACTGAGGCATGACTGGGCAAAACTGCTGACCACTCCAACTGCCAGGCATGAGTGGGTCAGATTGAGGCATGACTGGGCAAAACTGCTGACCACTCCAACTGCCAGACATGAGTGGGTCAGACTGAGGCATGACTGAGCCTGACTGAGGCATGACGGGGCCATACTGCTGACCACTCCAACTGCCAGGCATGAGTGGACCAGACTGGGGCATGACTGGGCCACACTGCTGACCACTCTCTATCGGACTAACATGATGTCTCGAAGTACCAGCCTCGGCAGTCTGTACCCTGCGAGCATGAAGACGCATCTGTTCCCTCTCCCGCCGAACGGAAGCATTCACATTACGACTGGCTGTGTGTCGGGGTCCAAAACCCTCGAACTCGGGAACATACTCATTAGCCTAAATCATAAATTTTAAACTAATAATTAGTATACATAATAATATATTTATTTTTTAATAATATATTTTTAATATTTTTTCATTAATCATATGTATAATAATATATATGAAATTAATTAAATTGCTACTATTTATACATTTTTTTAATTATCTATTATTCAAGTAAACTAAAATAAATTATATATTAAATAAACTAAAAGAAACGAAAATAAAATAAACTATATATTAAATATATATATGTATATATATTATATGAAATATATAAATATATATCTATATATATTTTAAAAACCAAAATAAATATATATTAAATAATATATGAAATATATACATATATATCTATATATATTTTAAAAACCAAAATAAATATTTATTTAATATATATATATATTTAATATATTATATATGAAATATATAAATATATATCTATATATATTTTAGAAACCTGCGTCGGTTCGTGAAAAAGTGAAGAATATCTTAGTTCAAGAGAATATAGGATCCGTTGATTTGTATGCTTTAGCGCAAATTCGTATGCCTATTCTGATACGGCGGGATCACCTACTTCTTCGCTTTACACTCGTATTTGCTAGTGGTGAATCATATCTATATATATTTTAAAAACCGAGTTAAATATATATTAATATATATTAAATATATATTTAATGTATTATATATGAAATATATATATATATTAATATATTTAATATATATTTCATATATATATTTAAAAACCGAAATATATATATATATATTTAATAAATATATATCCATATAATTTTTAAAAACCGAAAAAAAAATAAATTAAAAACCGAAATAAAAATATATTAAATATATATATATNTGGGAAATTAATAAGTAATTAAAATTATAGAGAATGTGATGGTTTGCATATGGTACAAATAATTATTAATTAGTAACATTATTGCACTTTTTGTTTTTTTTTTTTACTGAATTTACGGAATTCATGTCTCAAAATTTCTCTGCACAATGCTATTATTTGATGTGGACATTTTTTTCCCCCTATCTCTATTTTCTCTATTTTATTTTATTTTTTTCCCATCTCTCTAGGCTTTTCTTGGGTTTCCCAGAGAGTTGGTGTAAGATCATTTAAAAGATTGTCCTAAAAAAATATTTATTCATTGCAGCTGTGGTTGTTAACTCATGGCAAAAATCTGGTACACACTTGTTGAATTTGGGGGACAATTCTTTTTGTAATGTGTCTATCTCCATTTATTGTTCTGAAATATGGACATGTCTATGCATAAATGCTGGTATTATGATAATGTTATGTCTTTCCCGTTCGTGTTTTCACATTTGAGGTGAAGAAATGACAATTTGGTTCACAAGACAACTAATAGTTGGTGTAATTTGGAATGCATTTGAATGCTTGTGTTGGTCAGAAATAATCGATTTATAATTTTTTTAATAGATATACATAATTATATATTATGTTGTTAGTAAAAAATAACCGATTTATAATTCTTTTAGCAGATATGCATAATTTTATAGTAGAATGTTATATTTGAAAAATAGTATAAACAAAAGTATGACAGATCGACCTGTTGTCTCATATCAAAATTTGAGTTTATAATGCGGAGAAAATCTTTTGTTCCACTTTTATTTTATATTTTGTATTTTATTTCGTTGGATAAATGATACGTGTATGAATACAAAATCATATATATATATATATATATATCACAAGTATTTGTATCTGTTTGGTTGGTTGACCCCCAATACAATTTTAACAATACAAGCATCGATCTTCAATATGACGCTGCCAGGGCCGTCTCCAGAAATTTGGAGGACCCAGACAATTTTATTTTTTTTTCGAAGTTCCCAATTTGAATTTGTGTGGTAAGCAGAGAAGAAAAAAACAACTAATTCAACAAGATAAGCTAAATAAATAAATAATTTTTTTTTCGTTTTTCATCAATCCTGAAATATATCTTGGAAATGATAAATTATTTTACAGAGATATTTAATAAATTACATTGAAGCAGTCACGAGGACATTAAGATAAAAAATAAAAAATAATATCACTGAAACTAATTATTCTAATAAAAATTTTTCATACCAAACATCATAAGAAAACAAATGAAATATTTAGGTTTTCAAATTCACAAACGAATTACATATTTAACCATTAGCCTTTTTATTAATTAGTTTCTTCATTTGTGTAGTGGACCAAGTCCATATTTAGTCATTAGCCTTTAACCTTTTATTAATTAACATCTTTATTTGTGTAATGGGCTAAGTCAATATTTAGTCATTACTCTACACTACCGAAAATATACAATCAATATACATGTAAAAACAATACACGATGCAAATACAAAAAATAAATAATAAAAAAAAAAAGAGATTGTCGAAAAAAAAATACCTGCTTGATCGTGTATATTTTGTGTTTTGAGAAATTAGTACGTTTGAATTTTCAAATTCTAAATTTTTCCATTTGATATGAACAAAATCCTACTTAGTTAAGGTATATAAACTTACCATAATTTTTGTTAGTGCAAATACTATACGTGCGCAATAAGGAACTTTTCTACTTGTTTGGTAACTGATTTTTTATTCCTTCACAAATAAATGTACTGCGCAATTTAAGGAACCTTTAATCTACTTGTTTGGTAACTGATTTTCTATTCCTTCACAAATAAATGTACTTCAAGTGGTAGACATGCAAATAAAATCTCTCCCTTCGCAAAATTGTAATTACTTTAAATTCATGTGGTAAAGAGAAAATTTCGCCCTTCATTTATTTAAATGGATCAAACCGTATTAACCAACAAAAAAAAAATGTGGCCCCAAATAAATTGAGGCCCTAGGCAAGAGGCTCTCTGCCTTCCCCTGGAGGCGCCACTGGACGCTGCACCTGATACAAACTGTATGCCAAGGAAGGAAATTTCCACAACAGAAATGGGAAATAGTTAAGAATCACAAGTTAGGGGGTGTTACTATATAGAAAT